CATCTGCAAAGGCAGTCCTGCAAAGAGTGCATTACAGTAATCCAAGCAAGAGGCTAGCAGAGCATAGATCACTGTTGTGAGACTCTGCCTTTCCAGGTAGAGTTGTAGTTGATAAATTAACCTAAGCTGATAGAAGGTGCCCTAGGACACCCAAGTCAACCTGTGACTCAATTCAGGGTCCAGGAGCACCCCCAAACTACAAATCCTGTCTTTAGTGGGAGTGCAACCCCATCCAAGACAGGTTTAATGCCACCCAACTGGACAGATGACCCCTCGACCAACAGCACCTCCATCTTATTTGGATTATGTCTCAGTTTATTGGCTCTCATCCAATCCATTACCAAGCCCAGACACTGATTCAGAATGGCACTGCCTCACCTGGATCAGATGAAAAAGAGAGGTAGAGTTGAGTGTCATCGGTACACTGATGACATCTCAGCCCATGGATAACCTCTGGATAACCTCCCCCAGCTGTTTCATGTAGATGTTAAATAGCACAGAGGATAAAATACAGCCCGTTAGATTATGAGTATCATTATTAATTTCATTGCTATACTGCTCCATAGCCAAAGCTGTCTGGGCAGTTTACAATAAAGTATAAAAAATACAAAAAAAAATACAAGTAAGATGAAACAATGTAAAAAGAGCTTTTTTTAAAGATAGCTTTAAAAAAACAGTAAAAATATAACTAAAGGACACAGTAAGAATTACTGGGATAATCCTCTCAGGCCCCTGGATGACCAAAGGATGTCCTGAACTGGTGCTGAAAAGATTGAAAGTTTGGCAGCAGGCAGGGAGGTTCTTCCAAAGATGGGAGGCCACCACAGAAAAGACCCTCCACCTAGCTGCCACCCTCTGTGTGTCTTGAGGGGCTCCAGATGTTGAGGGTCTCACTGACGAGGGGTGATTAGGGTTAGGTACGGCTGTTCCTGAACCAGGGGGCTCTGTAGCCCATCCTCTGCCTGACTCCAGATTGGTCTGTTGCTCTACATGGGGCTCCCCCAGGAGAAAGCATAGAAGTTGCAGCTGGCGCAGAACGCCACCACACGTGCTCTGGCAAGGGCAGTGAGATGGGAGCATATTCGAGCTTTGGAGTATCTGCATTGGCTGCCAGTGAGACACTGAACTCAAGTCATGGCATTAGTACTGGTGTACAAAGGCTTGAACAACTCTGGATCTAGGTACCTGAAGTACCATGCTGATATTTAAAATCAGCTAGGGAGGGTCTACCAGCTGAGGAATGTGGCCCAGGGGTCAGTTCCATGGCAGGTAGCTGCACTTATCAGGCTGGTTTGATTAAGGTACTATATATACTATTAATGGTACCATTTAATACTATTAAGAGTAAACTCTGCTCTTCAGGGTATATTTAGCGGTCACTATAGGGGTTGCCACTATGTTGTGAGTGAAATGAGCATAGTGCTTTGTGTATGTGTGTATTGGTGATGTCACGCAGTGCTAAAAAGCTTTCTTTTAATCATCTGTTTATTATGTTACAATAAAACAAAACCATACAGAAGGCATCTATACCCACATACATTTTAATGTACCAATTAAATATAAACATCAAAAAACCACAAACTTATAATATATTCTAAAATTATAGTACAGACAAATTTAATCTCTCTATATATATCCATTTGAAGGTGGGAGCTAGACACTATCCATCCAAATGTCAAAAAAGCATTACTAGGTCCTCAATCCATTGCATTAAAGGAAGTGAGCATTTATCCTCTCAGTTTTGTGATATTAGTCTTTTAGCTGTCAAATGGAAATGGAAAATCCATTTAGACTGACCATGCACTAGCTTCCAGGAAACAGGTAAGTAATCTAAAAGCATTTGTACGTCAGCATTATTAAAGTATGTTTTATACAATTTATCTATAGTATAACCTTCTCCCAAAATTAAACTACTACTAGAGAACGCCAATACACATGATTAAGAGAGCAGTGTGACCCCCTCCCACCTGATACACAGAGTCCTCCTAATGATAATGATCTCTGTGGCTGCTGCACCTCTCGTTGCATGTTTTCTAAATGATCGTTTTCAGTTGCCTAGATGAAGCTCCAGGGAGGGGAAGGGAGGGGAAGGAGGCTGGGCACCAATAGGAACCACTATAGAAAGATGGCCCCATTTCCTTCCCTCCCTGCCAGCCTGGCATGCCGGTTGGCCTCCTCTCTGAGGTGTGTTCTCTTCTCACAGAAGCAGCTGATGGCAAGGCAAGGCAAGGCAGTTTAATCACTCACCTCAGGGCTTGGATTCCAAAGAATCTTATGCCCTCCATAATGTCCAGAGGCTGGAGGTTTGTGCCCTAGAGAAAATATTAGCAGTATTACACCTCTGTTTGTTACTCAGCTTAGGCAAACTCTAATTAAAGGTATCTTGTGGCACTCAGTACATACGAAATATTTTTGTTGAATCTGATGTAGCCTGAGAATCACTAAAGCATTAGCTGTAGAAACCAAGCTGACAATCCGTTGCTAGATTGAACAGGACATTCTAATTCCCTCCTCCATTTCTGCTTTAGACCCTGTGTGCCACATTTATTCATTGATAATAAATATTTATAAACATGGATTGTGGATCAATACAATCCCATTTCCTAATGAAATGACTACAGGTCTGACAGCCTCCTTCTTCTGTTAATGAATTTAAATGGAAGCTGTGGTGAGACCTGTTCCTCACAATGCCCTGCGGTGGTACTCCACACGAGCAATTATGGGATGTTTAAATAGTAACTTGCAGAGCACTGTACAGGTGTCTATGTGGGTGGGCCCTGCCTCCACTGACACGGAGACTGTACAAACGGGACAGCACACAATAGCACTACAGACAGGGCTTCCATATCGCCCCAGTGGTGCCATATGCAAACATGCCTGCAAGGCCTAAGTGCAGTGCATGTCCCAGAGCTGTGGCATGCAGAAGGCGAAGGCCGAGACAGACGCAACTGCGTTTGCCCCCTAGCTGGCCTCTCAAGCACTGAGTTGCAAGGCTGGTAGTGGATGGAACAGACCACTTGGGACCTGGCAATCATCATACATGCAGAAGCTAGCTATGTACCAGAGGCAGACAACCTGGGGCCTTCTAGGCAGCTTGGCTTATAACGCCCACCATCACTAACCAGATTCAACACTTGTTTTTAGTAGCTACTCTGGTTTTATTCCACTATTTTTCACTGCTTGTTTATTATGCTTTCCTGTCTTGTAAATTATATCGAATTTATTTTTGCTCAGCTGATTTTATTGTTTTAATTCTTGCTTTATGGCTTTTATGCAGGTTGCTTATGGTTCTTTTTGTGAGCCACCCAGAGAGCCCTTGGGGCTATAAGGCAGCATAGAAATATATTATTATTATTATTTATTAGAACATTTCTATGCCGCCCCTTGCCGAAGCCTCGGGGCGGCTTACAACAACCAACCAACCATTGCTGGTTAGGACTGACGTGACTTGTAAGCCAAGGGCTGCCTACCCCTGGTATACATGGAGGATTTAGCAGATGAGGCCTTCAAATGTGATGTGGTGTTCATAGAAAACTACACAGTGAACATGTCTCCCAGGGTACCATTCCACCCATTGTTTTGGCCCTGTGGCTTGTTTAGCTTCTGAGGCCTCTTAAGAATTTTGCACCATGTCAGTCCAGCCAAACAGAAGATCCCTCCCAGTGCACACCTTAGCCTGTGAGACCCGCAAAGTAAATTAAATGCACACAACATACATAACCATTTGCATCCTCATTCGTTCTACGTGCAGTTCAGCCTTCTTTCTGCCAGCAGCAAAGGGCATTTTCTGCCCCAGCCTCTTTTCACCTCACAGCGACCCTGTGAAGTAGGCTCGGTCACAACATGGCAATGAGCTCTGTGGTTACCCCGGAAGCTTCGGGGCTGATGGGGGATCGACCTCGGCTTCCCCGCAGCGCTCCACCTGTTCCCAGTCCCAGCCTGCCACGGTTGCCCCACAAGGTGGCCACGTGTTCTCGTTTAGGGAGGACAGCTCCCTGTCAAGGCCCAGGAGCAGAGCTGGGCCTTGAGGTGGCGCAGCAGCTGCCCCCAGGCGGCCCGCTGAGAAGGGCAGCCGGGTCAGCTAAGGTGAGCCGTCCTGCATTTCTGCTGAAATTATATCTATGCGCATAAGCAAATCGGTGCCCTCCTTTTCGCCGATGCAAGTCTTCCTTTCCAGCAATTTAAGTGCGGCCCCCCTCGGGGGGCTCCTGGGAACCACCGCGCCCCCCACGCGCACACCCCACGCTCCATCACGGGCCGTGCCCCGACAAGCCCCCATCAGCCACGAGGAACGCCGACCCGGGTCCGGCGCGGGCGGGAGCGAGGCTCTCCCCTCGGTCCGCACTCTGCCCAGAAAAGGGCCTCACCCTGGCGAGGAAGGCGGGGGGGGGCGAGGCGGCGGGGCTGGCACGCATTTTCGGAGGGTGATGCCAACCCGCCCCCGCCGCCCCCCCCCCAGCCGCTCGCCCGCTCGCCTCTGCCGGCGCGGCCATTGACGGCTCCGGCGCTGCCCTCGCAGGGGCCCGCAGCCGCCAGAGCGCCCCCGCGGCCCGGTTCCGGGGGAGTCCGCCGCCCGGAGGGGCGCTCCTGCGCCCTCCGCCCCCGTTTCCTGGGGCTCCGTCCCGCGTCGGCAGAGCAACAGTACGTGCGGCGCTGGCGGCGGCGGCGGCGGCGGCGGCGGGCGGAGTGTCTGGGCTGGGGGCGGCGGCGGCGGCGGCGCGGGGAGGGGTTTGCGGCTTGGCGTCGCTGCAGAAGTGTCGGCCTCTCCGGGAGCCGCCACGGTGTGCGCGTGTGTGGATGTGTGGCGCGCGTGTGTGTGCGCGCGCGTGTGAGTGTGTGCGCGTGTGTTCCGGAGAGCCTCGCTCGCTGCCTGGAGGAGCCGCTGCCGCCCGCCGCCCGGGCTTCTTCGGGCTGCTCTCCTCCTCCGCCGCCTCCTCCTCCTCCGCCTCTTCCTTCTTCGCCGCCGCCTCGGCTCGCTTCCTTTCCGCCTCTTGCCGCCGCTCTCCCGTCCGCCCGCCCGCGCCCGCCCAGCCGCGACGGAGTTGCAAGCAGGAGCGTGCGAAGCCGACGGTTCCGAGTCGGTGGGTTCTGCCTCGCATCTCCCGGGGGCTCCCCCTGCCCGCCCGCCCGCGTCAAGCATCCCTAAACGCCCCCGACTCCTCGGATTTATTGTCGAGCCCGAAGGAAATTGTACGACAACATCTGGGCGAGCGCATCTGGACACGCAACACCGACCTTTCCCGGATTCCTCGGGGATAACAAAAAGCGAAAGCATTTCCACGGTGGCTTTTTTTTTTTTTTTTTTTTGACGAGCCATCCAGCCTTCCTCTGAGGTTTCCATCTTTTAACTGCCTCTTAACACTGGCATAGAAGAAAGGAAGCAAATCATCGAGGGAGGGAGGGGGGCGGGGGTGGAAATCCGAAGGCTGCCTTTTTCCCCCCCGTTTCCTCCCCCAGGGATTTAGTTCATGGGGATGTGTTCAAGGCAAGAGAGGATTCAGAAGGATATTGACGTTGTGATCCAAAAGTGCAAGGCGGAAAAAGACTGCCTGTTTGCAGGTGAGTTTGCAAGCCGTTACTCCGGGTCCTTCCTCATCCTTCCCTTGGAATAACCCCCACCCAACCCCCACCAAGTCAGCCACTTGCCTCGAGACCATTGCTTGGTTTGCCCCCTAATATGACATGTTGATCAGAGGATGGCTGCTCTTGTTTTGGGAATAGAGCATCATATGTTTGGTAGAACACTGATGACCCTTTCTTAATCTTTGTCTTAAAAAACAAAGCTTATATCTCCCTGTTCTTTGTAGCGCGCGCGCACACACACACACACACACACACCATAGATGCTCTATGTGGCAAATAAGTGATGTGGGATTTGCACAGCAAGCCTAGGATGTTTTTTTCCATTCACACAACAGTTTAATATATATGGTAAATCCCCTCTTGCCATCTGATTAACAAATCCCCCTTCCCCCTTTTGGGCTTGTTTTCCACCTTTGCCAGAAAAATATGCTCGGATTCGTCCATTCGGTTTTGTGTGCATAGGAAACAGGCTGGGGGTGGGAGAGAGCAGCCCTCTCCAGGGTGGGAACTTCACAATATTGCCCTCAGATGTCCAGAGCTGGACGAACTGCCTTTTGTGACCTGAATCCCCTCCCCACTCGCCACTTCCCTTCTCTGTTCAAAGCCTCAATTTCGCCTGTTGCTTTCTTGTGATCATTACTTACAGTGTTTGATTTGCTTGGAGCAGCCTGGCTTGTTGCTGCCTGTTGCCTTCACTGACAATGGAAATTCCTTCTGTTGCTATAGCACCGGAGCACTTGTTGCAGGGTGGGGTGGAGCGTGGGGGTGTTCCTGCTGTATTACTATTATTATTATAATACTTCAATCAACCCCTTTCCCCTTATCAGTGGCAGACTGTGTGTGTGTGGGGGGGGGCAGGGGAATACATCGGGCATAACAGCAAATGTTCATCAATAGCAATACCGCTCTTTTCTGTTTTAGATTTCAGATACGCAGATTCCACATTTACCTTCACCTACATTGGGGGATCCAAAAGGTATGACTATAAATTAAAATAGCTTGATTTCCCATCATTCTGTGAATTCCAAACCAGTTCGATTGAGTAACTTAAGAATTCACCTCTCCTTCTTTTGAAGATAACAGTTGATGCCTTGAGGCTTTTTTAGAAGACATACTACCCTGGAACAGGTGTTTTGTGGTGTGATGACTAGCCATCAGATACCCATTGATCAAGAATTTGCCTTGCCTTCACTTGTTCTTGTCTTAGTTTGACCTGCAGAGTTGTTTTTGATAGGCATAAGGAAGAAGATAACCGAGACAGGGAAAAGCTGCTTTGAGAAGCTGGCGTGTAGAACAGAGTACAAGCAGAATGGACAATGTTTCTGTCCATATCAGTGTAAACCACAATGTGAAGATGAGACTGCAATACATAAACAACACTTGCAGTTTTCCATATTAATGCTGTGGATAATTGAAATAAAAAATTCAATAAAGTTTATGGTGCAGATAACAATCATTTCCATAACTACCAAACATTGAACCAATTACATTTGGTTCACTGATACACTTTTAAGTTATTCACAGATTCTGGCTATTGCATAGGCTACATAAATTTTCATATGACTGAATACATTTTTGTGGGGGTTGTTATGATTTTTGAACAGCTGTGCAGTTTTTAAAAATTGCAGTGCATAATCACCACTATTAACTGGCAATATCACTTAGATTCACTTGGTTGGAAGGCCAAGGGCTTTCAAAATAAAAATGGTTACTCTTATTTTGATTACATTTCTCTTTTTGCTGTGTTGTTTTGACTAAGCCAGACTTAAACTAAATGTTAAAAAGTGTTCTGGTCTGAAATGAGAACAGAGTTTGGTGATAGTTTCAAAGGTGTGCATCTGTTCGGTGAACTTGCCTTAATACGGGTGGAAGAAAGTAGTGAGAGATTGTAGTTTCATGAAAGTGAGATTTCAGAAGATTATTTTTTCCTAATAGAATTTCTCCATCCTCCCTGAAGAGATGGACAAGATACCTATTCCTGTGCATTGGACAAGATACCTATTCCTGTGCATTGGAGAAGGAGCTGAGAAGTTGCCAAGGAGGATAAGATTCAAAGCAACCCCTCCTCCAAATAGACATTGGTGCTTCAGATTTTTCAGACCTACTAGTCACATTTAATTATTTTTACAGAGTCATCAAGAAATTATGTGATTCCCAGCATCTCCTCTATTTTGGCCTGTGGTCCATATCTTTCTTGTTGATCTATATTTGTGCATTTTTAGGCAGCTGCTGCCCATTTGTATTTAGAACCAAGGCATGAATCATGGAGACCTTGCTGCTTTTTTCAGTGGGCTTAAGTTGATGCACCTAAATCTGCACAGATGAAACTTCTAGAGAAAACTCCTTACACATGATCATTTGACCTTTGCATCTAGATTGAACGATTGGTCAAAGAATTCCTGTCTGGCCTGTGCGTTAGTAGTTTACCTTGTTGCTGAACATTGGATCTGCAGCCTAGATGTGGTTATATATTAGTCAGCTGAATTTTTTGAGATAAGGATAATGGATATAAGCACCATAATTTGAGTTTCTAACTATTCCTGCAGTGCTATGTCAATAATGGGAGGCATGTTTTATTAGCTATTGTGGCATCTTTTGTGAGACAAGCAGGGCAGAGGTTGATAGCTCCGCACCACCTTTCCCAAAGCAAAGGAAATATCTTTCCTGCAATTCTAGAACTGGTGTTTGAAGTTGTACGTTCACTTCGCAGACCTTATGATGGCATACTGGAAGAGACACAAAAAGAAGGCCTGTCTGTAGTTTGCCTATACTGAACAAAGGAGTGAGTGGTGGGCACCTGTTAACCACCAGATCTTGTTGGTTCCTGCTGCCATAATCTTTAACCAGTGACTGTGCTTATTGGGCTGGTGGAAGTTGGGGTGCAAAACCATCTGGGAAGCCACCCAAGCAGAGGTGGTGATCACTGCTGCTGGGTTGGTACAGAGGTTACCACCAGCTTCTGGCACTGGTCCAAGCTGATGAGGTCTCCCTCTTTTTCCTTCTCTCCCTTCCAACTTTGATGCTATACTTTTATGCAGCAAAATGAGGGCATCAAACATAGATCCCGAGCTTTCCTTCCAAGGAAGCTTTCCCCTGCTCTTCTGGTGTGCTCTGCGTGTGATTGTCTCATTTCATTTTCATGATGATCCTATGAAGTAGGTTAGACTGCAGTCTGCGTCCCGGCTGCATATTCATCACTTGATGGTGAGCTTCATGTGGGAATAATAGAGCCAGTGTGGTGTAGTGGTTAAGAGCGCAGGAATGGAACTTGGGCAATCTGAGTTCTATTCCCCACTCAGCCTGGGTGAGTTTGGTCCAGTCATGGACTGTCAGCCCTACCTACCTCATAGGGTTGTTGTTGAGATAAGATTGAGACCAGGAGGAGGAGAATGATGTAATCCACGTGGAGTCTGTTTTAAGAAAAAATGAGATATAAATCTAATAAAAAAGTAAATACCCCATCAAGAATTAATCACCACAGATGAAATGGTCATATCCTTCAGTGACAACTCAGATTCAAAAATTTGGCATCAGTTGTATGTTATGCTGTGCTGACTAATCAGAAGAATAGACATCAGTCAGTGTAAACTGAGCTTGACAGACCAAAGCTTACTTCACCTGTTCACCTTTGTTGATGGATTTGAGCTTGGATTTCCCATATTCAAATCCAGAATTGAGCCACTTCATCACCCTGGATGCTCCATGGAGCATTAAACTCCTGCTGGATTAGTCCAAAGGTCCATCCAGTCTGTGATCTGCTTCTCAAAGTAGTTAAACAGATGTATATTATGTACTGGCTTTTTGATATAACACTATAAGCCACCCCAAAAAACCCTCACATGAAACAATAAAAACAAACTCATGTTAAGTTAAATTAAAAAACAAGCAAACAAAACCCCCAAGCCAATGCTGTTTACATTTTGACAGTATCTACAATGAAATTAGGCATCTTTTAATAAAATCATACTAATCAGAAGTGATAATGAGCCAATATTAAAGGCATATTGACAGAAAAGGGTTGGAGTTAGGAGTACGGTTAAAATGGGATAAGGGCAGGACAAGATGCTCCTGTGGGATGAATTTGCACAGTTGGGGCGCTACAACTAATAGAAACCTGACCTGCATTCCTGTCCACCATACTTCTGGTTGTGGGGGGACATGAACAGCACCTCTTCCAAAGACTTCAGAGGTGGGCAAAATCATGCGGTCCATCAACGATTGAAGTCCCATATTATTTTGGGGTTCAAAGCACTTGCATGCATTAGGAAAGCAAACCATCAGGACATGTGCGAGGCTGACCTTTCCCTGCTTCCTGCCTATCAACTAACTTACAATAACTCAACATTGTTCTTGGTTTTTGTATTTTTTATCCCACGTATTTCCTGAAAGGAATCCAAGATGGCTTACATAATACTTTTCTCGATTTTATCCTAACAACAGGGTTGCGAGTTAGGGTAGGCTGAGGGTCAGTGGCTGGCCCCTAATTCCCACCAGGATCTGTGGTTGGACTGGAACCCAAATTCTTCAAGTTGTAGTACAGCCTTCTAACCACTTTGTACTCTGGCTCTCCGGGGTGGGGGTGGGGGTTCTTTTCAACTTTTTTACCTGGCTTCCAGCTCCTGCATTCTACATTTTTAACAGCCTCTGGCAGAATGGAAAACATAGAAAGTTACCTTATTTCAGGTGAGACTGTCGATGAGCCCAGTACTCTTACTCTGACTGGCAGCAATTCTTCAAGGCTTCAGGTGGAGGGTCCCCCCCCCCCCACCTGCTGTGTGCTCCTTTTAACTGGAAACTTCCTTTTGAATAAGGACTCTCCCCAATCACATGGGTGGAAGCAAATCACATTGCAATCAAAAGGCTATTTAGGATTGTACCTTTACTCTGTTTCAGATTGTTCCCTACGAAAGTAGCCATTTTTGTGTCCTGTTTTCAAGAACAGTTTGCTTTCCATTGAAGACTTTGCTTATCCAGAAGCCTTGCCTGTGAATTTCATAAGACCATTTCTGTTTGCCTTGTGCTGGGAATATAAACCATATTTGTGACAAGCAAATATTTTGCATTTTGTGGCCATTTTTGTTGGGTTATACTTATTGCTCATTTCCCTGATACAGTTTGATGAAGGGTGGCTTATGCATATTCAAATAAATATAGCAGAAATAACCAGCATTCAGTCGTATTTACACCCAGCAAAATAGATTCCACAGGAAGTTATTTCCATCACTGTAGGGATGGACCACATGTGGCCCAGGTATTGCAACACACTGTCCCTTGCTGTGTCCCTGCATCGTAAAGAAATAATGCTGACCAGCAGAATGGTACTTCATAGTTGCTACTGAGCACGAAAAGGGTCAAGCAGTACAATGCTGGTAATCTGGGCTAGATGGACTAAGGATGTCTTCTTACGTTTATTTGCTTTCCCTCTTTATTATGCTTAACAGTCCCACGGAGTTCAATGTAAATTTGTTTTGGATTGCCACCTATAGCTGCAGGGCTGTACGATGAGGAAGTAGCCTCATTAACATCAAAGGCATTTACATTGGAGAAGATAGGCATAGGATTGCTCTGCCCATCTGTCATATGTGCAGAACAATGGGCACAATGTGTTTTTGGATGGTGCCTGAGTTTGTTTACGTGCTATACAGATGGGGTGCATGTGTCCACAAGAAAAAATCTTTTCTTTTGTAAAGGTTAAAAATGTTTGTTTAGGGGAAATGAGACTAGCTTTGAAAATGCTTTCAGTTTTCATATGGTGTTAGAATTATAAATTGGGAAGTTTAACTCCGTTGCTCAGGTCTTTTAGCTTCCAGCAAGAAACAAATTCATGCAGCATTTACAATTAAATCCCATAACTAGAGAAGTTAATGCATTTGCTTTCTCATCGGTGCTTTTAAGATGCTCAATACAAGCAATCGATAGCTTAAGGCTGAAGCTCTCTGACCTTTTCTGCATTGTGTGATTTATTGTGAAGACTCT